TGTATGTAATACACACTAAATTATGTGGCTTCTTGATGTTGCAGTTTTAAAATATATGGGAAAGGATTAATTTTTAGTTTTGTATTTTATGTTCTTACACATTAATTTTGTAAAAGTTTCATTTTGCTTAGTAGTGTGACCAGTAGCAGGTTTTGGTATTGGTGTGTAATAATAATAATAATAATAATACCTACTTACTCACTCACTCATGTAACTGAGTCCTTGAGGAGCTGCCAATTCTGCAGCTACTCAATAATTTCCCTGCATTTTTTGGAACCTGAAGGTTCATTACCATGTTCACAAGAGCCCTCCAGTGGTCCCTATCATGAGCCAGATCAATTCAATCCATACCATCCCATCCTCTCTCTCAACGATCTGTTTTAATATGGTCCACCCATCCATGCCTTGGTCATCCCACTGGCCTCTTTCCTTCCGGTGTTCCCACCAATATCCTATATGCATTCCTCTTCTCACCATTCATACTACATACCCTGCCCTTGACTTAATTATTCCAATTATGCTTGGAGAAGAGTACAAATTATGAAGCTCGTCACTGTTCAGTTTTCTCCAACATCCTGTCACTTGATGTCTCATCATTTAAGATATTCTCCTGAACACCCTGTTCTCGAACACCATCAGTCTGTGTTCCTCCCTTGATATCAGAGACCAAGTTTCACACCCATACAGAACCACAGGCAAAATTAAATTTTTTTAGGTGGGACCCATGTCACCACGGCATGGCGCGTCCTCAGGTTGCGGTTGGAGGAGGCGTCCTCCAGGTATGGAAGGAAGCTGCGAATAAATTGAATAAGCAGTTGCGGACAACCGACAAGGGGTGGTCCTCCAGCTTGGAGGTTGGGCTTGGGGCTAACAATTTCTCACCATAAAAAATAAACTTTTTATGAAAATGTTCAAAAAACCTCGGGCCTTGACGGATCCTCTGGATAAACGACCAAGGCTAAAGAAATACTACTACTACTACTACTACTAATAATAATAATAATAATAATAAATATGCCAGTAACATATTCTTGAATAGTTGAATTATTTTCAAACNTATTTCGTCACAAAGATGCTGCTAAGAAAGACACAATTATGTCTTTCTTAGTAGGTCTGTGTACTTGACGTTACCTTGATCTAAAAGGACTTCCAGTGTACTCTGTCGTGGGTAGGATTGCCCTTGGGTTTTATACAGTGCATTCCAGTAGTTCGTAAAGGAAGAAATAATGGTTTCCGCAATTTTTTTAAGTGTGTGTCCGTGCTTTTGTTTGACTGCTACCAATGTCCTTAGCTGTCGCGTTACTATAATTGAGCTGGAATAAAACATCCGATAGTAACAAGGCGGTACGTATTGCTCCAGTCTCTTTTGTAATATAACTGTTGCAATAGAACATCATGTGACGGTCAGATGGCACTTCTACTTCGTGTTCCGGGGGCCCCGATTCCGGGTCTCGGTTCATATGACAGGTTTCCTCCCCGAAGATTTTGGTGGGTTTTCTTGGTTTCTGCAGGCAATTGCTTGGAGTGTATCTTAAAAAAAAAAAAGAGTCCATGACCGGTTTCTTCCACATTCTTTCATGTTCATCGTCGTACGAAAGTAACCCAGGATTCAGTCAACTAGTCAAGTCTCTTTTCTGATTTGAGAACATTCGCGAGCTTAAACTGCATCGAATTTTAATATGCAGAGCATATTAGTACGTCCTGTATAGCTTCAGTGACTTGTCCCTTTGTGAAACAACTGGATAAACGCTGTTTACCGCTGATTTCAAGTCTTATTTCCTTGTGATTGAACAAGCTGTCAGCCTCAAAATTAAATTTCTCAGATCACTTGATTCCCAGTCTTGTTGGGGCAGTAAGATTCTGGGATATTCCAAGTGGTATTTACTCTTAAGTTTTCCGATCAAAATTTTATAGGTACTTCTCATCTCTCTCTGCGTACTTCCTGCAGAACTCGTCTTTGGTTTCATCATCCTGATAATAATATCTAATGAAGAGAACAAATGAAGAAGCGTGATATCATGAAATTGTCTCCATTCTCCCGTTACTTGATCTCTGTCAATAATACCTCGTGAAGAGAACAAATGAAGAAGCATGATATCATGAAATTGTCTCCATTCTCCCGTTACTTGATCTCTGTCAATAATACCTCGTGAAGAGAACAAATGAAGAAGCATGATATCATGAAATTGCCTCCATTCTCCTGTTACTTGATCTCCCGTAGTGGGTTCTGTTCTCAGACACCCTCAGTATGTGTTCGGTCTTGTAATGTGAGTGAACTCTTCACGTTCGTACAAAATATCTGGTAAAACTGTAGTTTTAGTGTTTACGTTTTAGTTACAGAGGAACATAGAATGTTATGGGCGGGACGGTATGAACTATTCGTCTTTCCAGAACTTTTCGGTATGACATCCACCTGTCAGGAATGTTTTGATGGAAGATATACTCGTAGGTTGGCCTTTAATAAAGTAGGAGCCGAGAGAATTATCTGAAGCGGTAACGCGTTTGAATTGTATTTGGGAGATGCCCTGGTCTGCATCTCGGCTGGGTCACCGACTATCCTGGCCGAGGTTTTTCGTGGTTTTCCTTCAGTATCTCGAGGCATATCACAGAACAGTAAAATAAATTATGCAACAACCGCATCCTTTGCTGTCATCCAGTATAAGTTACCGAGAGCGTCGTTGAATGAACTACAAAAATCGAACCTGCCATTTATCGTATATTGTTTCTTCATAGGACTCGTGTTGACACAAGCACCTTTAAATACTGAATTTATTGAAAAATATAACAATTAATGCATCAGAGTTTACCCATGGTAGGATAGTTGTTTAGCTAACAGATGTCTTGACAGATATTACACGTGGAGCAGAAACACACAGAGATTTAATTTTTAATGCTGTTTTAATTGTTTGACATTATGTATCCATTCGATTAGATTATTAGACCTCAATGTGCATTTCTTAATATGCATAATTAC